GTTTGAACCATTTTTGCATAGACTAAAGTACAAAGCAGTGAAAATCATTAACAGGCAATGGTTCGAGGGGCTGAATTTGCACGAAACGCATGATCGCACCGGCTAGCCTGGTGCGCGTTGCCATTTATTTTATTTATTCCCATAACCTCTCTTCATTTTTCTCAGTTTTAGTTTGAAACTTAATATAATTATCGTAGAAAAAAAATAATACTGGTGGTAATAACAATAACAAAAATATTGATAACAATAACAATGATAATTATAATAACAATTACAATCGCAATAAGCTATGCCTCCTTATTCCATCGAATTGCATGCATCTCTGTGGAGTACCACAACTGAACCTTGCCAGTACAATAGTTATACCGAAGAACACTTGACTTACTGCACTGTTGCCATGTGTAATTCACATACCTAGTTACAGGTTTGTGTTGGGGTATGGGCAAAAAGCAGCTTATCACTTTGCGTTATGGAACTGTTGGCAATGAAAATAATCCTTAGCATTGGCAATCGTCATCCAAACTGGGCTACCGGTGAAGCCAAAGAAATTGTCACATACGTACATGCTCTTTGGAAAGACCTGGATTTCCATAAACGATATACACGCAAGGTAAATTGGCAAATCGCATTTCCGGTATCCTTACTTTTGAACACACAACTGTCTTTCAAAATTCAGGATAATTTTGTATTCAAATTTGATATTCAGTATTTTTTCAATTTTTATTGTGATATGTTACAATATGTTATTTCTTCAATTTTTTTTTATTTTTTCAATTTTTTTTATTTTTTCAATTTTTTTTTTATTTTTTCAATTTTTATTGTAATATATTATTTATTCATCAAGCAGAACTTACGCTGATTTCTTACAATATGCCAAAAAAAAGCGAATATAGTACAGAATTGACGCATTAATTTACGATGTTTTAAAAAAAAAAAAAGAATGTGATAGTTCCGAAAAATCTCATCATAGGAAGAGCTAGAGTAACCTCTCCGGGCGTATCATTCCATATTTTATTTACATTTTATGCACTGAAAAAATCTCCAGCAATTTTTCTTTTGACTTACTATGGAAGAAATTTTGATCTTTTCATGTTTTCCGACTTCGTTAATTTAATTTGATGAATTTAGAAATATTTATATTCGCATATTTGTTGGTTTTTTTAAGTTAACATTTTTTTTTTCTACAAGAGAAAAAAAATAGCCTTTGGCCGGTCAATACAGGGGGTGGGGAGATCTGGTTTTTTTTCTTTTTTAAGTACTATAATGCTGTTAAAAATGTTTCAGGTAATAGAAATTTGACTCGTTTTTAATGTCTTTATTTTTCAGGATTATTTGGATGAACCACGATATGAGGTTCCTAAACTGGCAGCCCTGATTATGCTACGCTATTTCAAGTAATTTTTTTCTTTCTATGACCTCAAAGGTTCCACACCTGTAGTCTGGTCGAGCTTGGTAACACACAATTTTTAGGCGTGGTTGCATTCCAAAGGGCGCAAAGACGGTATCCAGTTGGGATAGAGGGACTTTACCGGACGGGACAAGCATATCCAGCTCCAAAAAACAAAGATCTAAAGACTAAGTTCCAAACGTTTAGCACTAAGGGGC